AAATAAAACCCGACCTCTGCTTTCTTAAGTTTTCAAACCTGCGTTTTTCCCAGCCTTTCTCATACCAGCCGTCACCTCAGCTGGAGCCCTTACTGGCTCTCCTCCCAGAACGACTGAAACTCGTCCAATGGGGTCCCGTCGAGTGCCAACATCAGCCAATCACAGAGCTGTAATAAACTCAAACTCTCCTTATATCTATCCATCTGTGAAATGTTTTAACTCGTGGTCATATAGGGTTGAGTTAAATCCCCGGTCTGTCACGACCCTCATGATTCAGCGACAGTATTAGACTGTTTATACGATAATTCAGGTTTTTATTTAACAGATAACATAATTCATAACGACCTTTGAGCCCTTTATATTTAAACATTTTCACCTTTAATGAAATTTCCCTCTTTCTGGACGCCGTTTTCTCAGCTCTGCCTCTCCATCTCTCTGAGCGAGCAGCTGTCTGCAGACAGGAATGTCAGAAACCTTCGTGTCTATTCACTCGGCTTTTACAGCCACAGCGGGTCAGACTAGAGCGCCGTCACCAACGCCGCCTCGCCTCGCTCCATTCATCCGAAACACGAATCTGTGAGCCGTCTTGGAAAGTTAAAAATGAACTCTTATTATCATCAGTATTATCAGTTTTTCTGCGTCTCTGTGGTTTTCCATCTGTAGTTCTCTGAATGTTTGTTTCATGGATTAGTAGGGAGCGATGGTCCTGACCTTTGACCTCCTTTTCAGTTTTGGTGGAGCAATGAAACGAGCAGCTGCCCGCCGCATAGAGTCTGAGTTTGAGGCTCGTTATTACGTGACTGTAGAGCACAGATCTGTCTGAATAATGTTTATTCTAATATTCAGAATCTTTTTATTTCACCTCCTGCTGCATTTTTGTTTCACTGAAAACTAAAGTGAGTTTGCACATCACAGATTAGAGAGAGATTAGAGACTAGCTTTGACTGAAATCACTCATGTACAGATGATTCTCCATCTCTGCAGAAAAAACTAAGAATCTGGATCTTTGCAGAAAATACAGGAACTGGAGATTAAATTAAAGACTCCTCTCATATCATAAAGTGTGTCCAGAAATGTAAATAATTACATTCATGTATATCTTAAATATTCAAATGTGGACTCTGTATTCATCCCCTGACACTGTCACAGTGGTCTCGTTTTGCAAATCAGAAGTTTGAACTTTAAAAACTGTTTTTTTTTTACGGTGGCCCTGAGGTGCAAAACACAAAAACACAAATCAGGAAACACAGCGACATTCACCGTTGTGTTTTCTCTTTGTGTGTTGTGTTTTCTGATTTGCCGTTGTGTGTTGCACCTCAGGGCCACCGTAATTTCTAAATCCAATAACAGACCAGATTAAAGCTCCAGTGGGGAGTTTTTTAGAGGTTGTGAAACAGATTTAAAATGTAAATAAAAGCACTTAGGATGAGATTTAGGATTTCTATATTGTATTTTTGATTCCTGTAGCTGCTGTGAGGGAGGAGTCACACCGAAGAAACAAACTTTATTATTATTATTGTTATTTTACTTTTAATACCGAGCTAAATACTTAAAAAGCTGAGCTGGTCTTATCACTCAATTTTTATTTTTTTTTTAAATTGTATTTATTATTGTAAAGCGTCTTCGAGCACCTGTAAATAATTTTTTTAATTATTATTTATTATAAAATAATCACACTGAGTAAGAAAATGTCACTGTAAAAAAAAACAACACAGGTTTGGCTCACTTTTAGTCGCAGAAGTTCCTCAGCAGTAAAAGTTAAATTTATATCAAATCCACAGTTTTTATTTTCTACATTTCTTTATTTATTTAAAAGTGTGGATAAACTCTTTTTGTAAAAATCGTCCAGATGTAGAGGTGCCGTTTTAGCTGCATCTTTATAACTGAAGTAAAAATGTTGCAGAGATGGAGAATTTCACTGAACCTCATGTTAAAAACGGTCAATTTTAGAAGCAGCTCTCTGTTTAATGAACTTTAATAATCTGACTCAGTCTCAGGGTTTGAGGAGACCACAGGAGCAGCTCCTCTTCCTCCTCCTCCTCCTCCTCCTCTCTCTGGTATTTGGACTAAAGGGGAGACAGAGCTTTATGAGCTTCAGGGCTTCCGTCCGTATTGTTGGTTTTAAAGGAGGACAGAGACGGAGCAGTAAAGAGAGTCAACAGGCCAGCAGAGCACACCGCCGTTTGTCAAGTTCAATGTTAATGTTTAACGGTCCGACACACACACACACACACACACACACACACACACACACACAGTAATGGGTTTTACTGAGCGAAAAGCAGCTTCTTTTTTCATTTTCTATCAGATCAGATTATTTCTCGCTGATATAGAAACACTAAACCTCCCTCCTCTCAGCTTTCTTATTATTTTTTTTATTATTATTTTTTACTCCTGTTGTTCATTTTTCCATCTTTGTCTTTAAAGTTTATTATCTGATAGTTACTGTAGCGTCTGTTTAAACATGTCAGATTATTTGAGGTTTAATTTTCCCTTTAGAGACTCTGAAACTTTAACTTTATCCCGTTTTTACCTCCTCAGTTCCTCTAATAAACTCTTTTTATTCTTCAAGTATAATCTCCTGTTTCCAACCCTCACAGACTGAATAACTCTCCTTGTGTTTCCTGAGCTCATAGATGTTGAATAAGTCAGAGTTGGAGTTTCTTTGCACATGCGCAGCTCCTCTTTATTTTTAACGGTACCTCCGGGTTCGTTTTGGTTCCGACAAAATGAGGACCAGAAATCTGAAAACACGGAGACGGCGCGTCCCGGAGATTTGGAGAGGTCAACAGGCATGAAAGTAAAATCTTAATTTGGTTTAATTATCTTCCTGCAAATGTGTTTAATTTACAGTGCAGAGAATTTAGTTTCACGTGTTTGCTGCAGATTTAAAATCCTCCACGTGGGCCGTAAAATATTGTCTGAAATTGTTGTTTTGTTTTGGCTAAAGTGAGTAAAATAAAAGATATTCTCTGTTTGATACTGAAATTAAATACTCAGTACTATTTGGAGGAAAAATTACGCACAGCAAGAAAATGGAGCTGGAAATATCCGCACAGTTTTGTCTTCAGATTTTAGAGTATAAACCTCCCTGTAATAATAATAAAAATGTCATAATATAGTAAAAAATATATATACCAGAATTCTCCAAAATATAAAAAATATAAATACATATATTTTTAATATTCCTTATGAGTGAAAAGGTTTGGACTAAGACAAGTTTACAGATTGTTTTACGCGCCTCAGGAGAAATCCGGGGAGTTGAATCCAAACAGTGAACACCTCCTAACTTTTCACAGGCTCATATTTCTTTAATGATAAACCCCACTGTGACTTTTTATTCTAATGTTTTTATCTGGATATTCAGAGTTTATACAGAGTCACGGACTGCTGATTATTTTTGTCGCCTGGAAAGAAAAAGGCCAAAATTTTCCCTCCAGACTCAGAGTCAGACAGAGGAGTTTGTGCGTAATTGGCACAATTTTGAACATTGAAGAGGTTTAATCAATTCAACGCCTCCCTAACTCTGTGAGAATAAACTTCAAGATCTGCACATAGAGAGGGAAAACGAAAAGGAAATAATGAGGGTTTTTTATTTTGATTTAACGATGAAAATGAGGACGAACTCTGTGAGGTTTAAGTCTGAAAATATTCGCATTTATCATCCGGACAGAAGAGAAAAGTTTCAGAGCGAGAGTTTGTGTCTTTAAACTTTTCTGTAGATAAATAGAAGAATTAAACCCACGCGCAGTCGTGTACCTCGTGTGTTTTTGTTCCTCGTGATTTCTGACATCTTTAAGACTCCTGCTCTCTGCGGAAAATTATAACTTTGGTCCGAAACTGCAGCCGCTGCTGGTGACCCACAAACCCGCTCAGAGTGAGAGCAGACGGGCAGCAGGCACCCGCAGCTCAGCGTGAACGCGCGGCTGATCAGTGCAGCCTGTGTGTGTGTGTGTGTGTGTGTGTGTGTGTGTGTGTGTGTGTGTGCGTGTGTGTGTGTTGTCGTAAAATAAGGCTGTAGCTTTTCACGTGACTTTCAAGGTCAAGGGCTCCTCTCTCCCTCTCACACACACACACACACACACGGATCTCTCCTGTGTTGATGCGTAAAGTTAAGAAGTTAAGAGGAAACTTGTTTTTGCGCAAATATTTGAACATGAATTTTCATTTTAGATTTTTCAAAGTTTTCCTGATAATTTTTCTTCATCTTTCATTTTTAACTGAAGTTGGATTTGAGTTTATTTTATCCTCATTTTCGATAATCCTGCACAAAAAGATCCGGACTGTTAAAGCCAATGAGGGAAACCAAGAGGGCTCTAAAATAAAATACAAATACAAATAGTTTACTTATAATTAATTCCCATTAAATGCTGTTTGTCTCAGCTCATATAAACAGAAAAAAACGATATTTTTTAGTTTGTAGTTTGATTCTCCAAAAGCAAAAAGACGTTTTTTTTCTGCTCCAACTGATTTAAACTTTGTTTTTTATTTTAACTTTTGATCCACATAATATAACAAGTATTTTCAACTTTCTACTTAAAATAAAATTTAAAAAATAAGGGAAATATTTTTAAACCGATCCTGCCATTTCAGTCAGTTTTATTAAAATTAAGTCTTTCTGTTGCTGGATGTTTCCTGTCAAATATCAAACTATTTAAAACGTTTTTATTCAAGTTTTATTAATTTTTTTCTGCTCTTTTAGTCTTTATTTTTTTAGGACAGCAGTTTTTTCCTTGTGCAGGTTTTGTTCACACGGTCTGCGCTCCTGTGAGCAGATATCAGGAAACAGGATAACATTGTTGTGGCGATGTTCACAGTCTCATAAACACGTTTGATTCTCCGCGTGCTCTCTCTGAATCCTCCTCTCCGCGGGTATCATCTTCCACTTTTTTGGATGCGGATTTGTTTGCACGTTTTTACGGGAATACTTCGTCAGAGGAGCGAATTACGCGCAAATTTTACGGTGAAATTAAAGATCTCAGATGTGAAAGAGGCTCCATCGGGATTAAAGGTATTTATTAAGTGATGCACTATACTTTGATTACTGGCTTACAGGCGTTATAAACAGTATGAACAGCATAATAAGTGTGTGTGTGTTTTTGGCTACACGGACAACACTGACAAAGAGTAAAACACAGACAGGAGACAGACAGGAACATCGAAGCAGGCAGGAAGGTGCTGTATGTACAGAGAGAGAGAAGAGAGAGAGAAGGAGAGAGGGCTTTGGTTCTCTTCTTTCTTTCTCCTCTTGTGTCTCTTATGTCCTCGTTTTTTATTCTTCTTCCATTTGTTGACGCGCTTTTACGCACAGCCATAGTCCATCAGGAGTACCGTCGAGTTTCTTCATTTTCCTCTCAGTTCATTCTTCTTCATGTAACACACACACACACACACACACACACACACACACACACACACACACACACACACACACACACACACACAGTAACATCCTTCATCTCACTGTCCAGAGCGGACGAGCCTTCATGCTACGGCGCGCTGCTCTTCACTTTGGCCACGAACTTCTTCTCCTTCACCCTCCGGTTCTGGAACCAGATGGTGATCTGCCGCTCCGACAGGTTGGTGGCGGCGGAGATCTTCCTCCTCTTGTCCTTGGTGATGAATTTGTTGGCCGCGTACTCTTTCTCCAGCTCCTTCAGCTGCACCTTGGTGTACGGGATCCGCTTCTTCCTGCCGCGGCGGAAAGGCGAGCCGTCGTGCTGATGAGCCACCACATCTGTGAGGGAGAGAGAAGAAGAAGAAGAAGAAGAGGGCTGAGGGACAGACAGGCTGATGGCTTTTAAATTAAGTCTTTCACAGACACGAGAGAGAGAGGGAGAGAGCGAGCTGCGCGCGTTTAGAGGACAGACAGTTCATGATTGGAGCTGATTGGTCAGCCGTGCTGCGACAGATAAACAACATGGAGGAGATCTACTCTCTGCTGCACACACAGTCCTCAGACAAACACACGCAGGTTTTTGCTTTTATGCACAAGAAACGATTCAGGATCTCCTTCAGTCATTTTAGGTCCAAACTGAACACGTGCATTTTTAATATCAGCAATAATCAAATCAGTAATAACAGGATAATGATGGATCCTCACCGAGGGTTTTATCGCTGTGTTGACAACCCAACATGTGTACGAGAGCTCGTAATTATCATTGGAACACATGCACGAGACAACACGTGACCTTTAGATTCATAACGAGCCTTCATTTGCATGATGAGGCAGAAACAAATATCCTGGTTTCCACTGACAGGTCATAATAATAATAATAATAGTAACTCCCAGTATCATCATCTTTTTCTACTTTTACGCACCAGTTGCACAGAAACAGCTCAGACACCGGAGGAGTGATTAACAGGAGAATAAAACAGATTACAGACAGAGCTCTCCACGCGTGACTTTACTCCACATTCATGAGCTCTATTTTTAGGATCTGATTCATGAGTGTTTGGATCAGTCTGGATTTACTCTCTTTACAAAAACAATAACACACACGAGTCTGTTCAGGCCTTTTGAAAAATGTTGTCATGTTCCTTTAAATATATAATTTTTATTATTATTAAAATATTAAAATCTGAGTCTCTTACCGGCCAGCGCGGACTTCCAGAGGTGCCCGGCCTGTCCCTGGTCCTTGGAGCAGTACATCTGTCCCCCCCAGCCGTTGGTCAGAGCCCAGGGCTGGTAGCTGTCCATGGGGAGCAGGGTATCATGGCGCGGCTCTCCGGTGCCCAGAGTCTGGACCACAGACACGTCCAGGTAGCTCGCCATGGACTGGTACGGACTCGGGTAGCCGTGATAGAAGGCGAACTCTTTGGCCCGGTGGTTCGAGTAGTCGTCCGAACTCACCGTGGTGTCCATGTACTGAGAACTGAGCGCGGCGGCTCCGGCCGCCTGGGTGCAGGACTTGAGGGAACCCCGCCCCATCCTGCACGGATAGTAGCCGTTACCAAAGTAGCTGTACGGTAACGCGGTGGCGGCAGAGGAGCTCTGATGCGGCACGGCCGCGGCAGGGCACGGTCCAGCCGCGCACTGCTTCCCCGAAGACGTTCCAGACTCAGAGGCGCTCGAGGCGGACACATCCACCGTGGAGTATCCGGCCGAGGAGTGCACGAGGCCGGACGGGTGGCCGCCCAGAGCAGCGGCGGCCGCGGAGTGCGCCATGATGTTGCGGCACTGGCTCGCGGCGAAGTTGCCGCTGCCCACCAGCCCCTCCATGTTCTTGTTCAGGTCGTCCAGGTTGTTGTCATACACAAACATCACCGTGTCCGCTGGCCAGCGAGGGTTGAGGACCAGGGAGGCGGTCATATGCGCTCCTGTTCCCGGTCTGGTCTCGGTTCCTCTCCGGTTCCTCTCAGAGTCTGTCCGCTGCCGCGCGCTCAGCTGCTGCTACATTGGCTGAAGGAGTTTCGCAGGTTGAGCATCGATCTCTCCTCTCCTCGTGCTCACTCGCGGCTCAGGTGATTCTCATGTACCGTCGCGCGCACTGTCATTGCACGCGCCTCCTAGCTGCACTGCTCAGTGACGGTGCTCGCTCGAGGCAAAGAGTCCCGGTAAACCGGCCGGACCTCCTGTTACATTTCAGCCGCAGCCTTGACGCAACGAGCCCCCGGGAGCGGGAGAGGGAGGGGGGGCGCGTGTCTATTGGATGAGACTGGATGATCACGTGATGAGACATGAGAAAAAAAAAGGAGGAGAAGGAGAAGAAGAAGAGTCTTGTTGGAGATTGTCAGTCAAAGAAAAAATGTTTTTACGAGGCTCGAGCTGTGGCACGAGAGGGGCATGAGCTGCGTGCAGTGGTGCAGCTCCGTGAACGTGCCGAGGGTCCTCGTGCAGCTGCATCATGTCAGACTGGAGTCTCTGATCTCCTGATGATTGACAGGTCTATGAGATTTAAGGAAAAAAATCACTTCACATGATCTGGGTCTGTGCGTAAAGACGCACGGTGCCAAAGAGAAAGAACTGGAAACAGCTGATTGGTTTCAGATTAAATATTCATCTTTAAAAAGATTTTTGACTCTAAAATAATAAAACAAAACGACACTTTGTTCTGAATATTCCCCATGATTGTTTTTATTTAAAATGTTCAGAGTTATGGAGACTTTTAAAGACTGTAAGAGACGCTGCCAAAGACGAGGAAGGAAGTTTATGCTGCAATAAAAGTATCAAAAATATCTATAACTGAATCCAGAGAAACCTGTAATTATTAAAAACTAACTGGACCCTCTTGGACCGACCTCTCAGACTCGGACCAGTGTCCGTGTGTCTCTCTGATGAGTGGAGGAAGCGTGAAGCAGATTAATGAGGGAGATTTGGAGGTTTTGAAGGTTTGAGAGAGAGAGAGAGAGAGAGAGAGAGAGAGAGAGAGAGAGAGAGAGAGAGAGAGAGAGAGAGAGAGAAATGGCTTCAGTTCAAGAGCGACCTTCAGCCTCTTCATTTCAGCCTTTTGGTTTATTAGAAAGGTCTCAGACTGGGTTTAAACCTCCACATGTTTAAAGATCCACTTTCTGCATTAATGTAAAGTTATGTTAAAATAAAGAAAGTTTTAGTGTTTAAATTCGAAGTCAGGAGATCTTAATGTTTACAACAGAACAGTTTGGCGTTTAGAGGAGCTGCAAACAGCGAAGACGACGTTAAAAAAATAGAGTAAGGAGCAACTATTCTATTATAATCTATTATATTATATTATATTATATTATTGAAGGACAGGGATGTCTCAGCTGAGCGTCTATTGGACGCCATATTTTTACCAATCACCTGAAATTAAAGATCGAACTTATTTATCAGTATTTAAAGGTTTAATTATCACCTTACACACCTGAAGATAACAACCTCTGTATGTGTGAAAAAAAACGAGCTTTAAGTCTCTGTCACTCTGAGTCTGTTTCTGTTATTTTCTTCTTTCATTTTCTTATTTTTGCGCATTTTTATCTGTTCGCGGTCTCTGGAAATGCGCAGTTTGATCTGAAGTTTAACTATTTTTACGCTGAAACTACAGGAGCTGATGAAGTCCACATTTACTAAATTAGCTTTAATGTTTAAAAATGAGATTTAATATATAAAAAAATATCAAAAAAAGACAGCAGGTTATTTTTCCTGTCAGGTGAGACTCTGATCCAGGTGACGATGAGAGACACAGAGAGCAGCACAGATAAGGGACTGAAACGATAATTATCTTTAGTAAGTTCAGACATGTTCGGTTTAGATAAGAGAAGGTATTGGTTTATGATTTTACACTCTTATTTAAATGTTTTTATTTTTCTCTGGTCGAAAGTTTGGACTTTAAATTTTTATCCTACAGAAAAATATTAAATTAGAAATAATCTGACTCTGATCAACACTAAATAAAAAATAAATCAGTTTAAACTAAAATTCTTCATCATCAGTTGGATCGTTTTTCTCCAAATATCAGGGATTATTCATCATTTTATATGTCACCTCTCAGTTACGCAAGTTTCCATGTGCTCTGATATTTTCTTTGCTTTTCTATGAAACTTAATTTTTATCTGAACGGAGCTTCGGTTCATACAGAATAATAAATGTTTAAATTCAGATTACACTCCTGGACAGACAGACAGTCGTGTCGGAGTCTTTACTCAAAGACTTGACGGTCTGATATCGAACAGGGATGATGAGTTAATCTCCTTTCGGATATAAAAGTGATATTTCCTCCTGAGCTGCAGCATCGAGGTCTCTTCATTCATATCCTAAAAACATCTTTATTATTAAACACTTTGAGTTTCTGCAAACCTGCTGTTTTGGAGCTTTAACATGTTTACTCTGCAGACATGTGAATCTCATGATCGTCATCATCAGTCATATTTTAACTCTTCAGTTTTTGCTGCAGTCAAAGTGTTTTTCTGAATCCTCAGTATTTTCAGATCTGTCTGTGCAGGTTACAGATCCAGAGGAGACATAAAATAAAACCGTTTAATTTCACTTTTGAGTCAAACTCTGAATATCGCGAGAACATTCAAGAAACAGGCCCAGGATGAAAACAGGAGTCACTCTGAATAAGAGGACTAATCCGTTTGATAAGGACTCAGAGATGAGGACGCGCAACAAGATCACGTGATTAGAGATGAGGAGGAGAAGGAAGAGTGTTTGAGATTTTAAAGATGTTTATATATTTATAAAAAAAACTTCAGATCCTGCAGAAAACAACATCAGAAACCAAACAGACAGACAGAGAGTCTGTGTCCCATAGTGTGGTCTGAGGGGGGGCAGGCCCCTGAGGGTCAAGGTCAAGGTCAAGTTTAACACGGGGGGGGGGGGGGTACAGACAGAAAGACCGACAGATGTAATGAGCTCAAGTTCAAGGCCCACACACACACACACACACACACACACACACACACACACACACACACACACAGGAGCAGCTTGGAGGTGTGTGTGTGTGTGTGTGTGTGTGTGTGTGTGTGTGTGTGTGTGTGTGTGTGTGTGTGTGTGTGTGATGACGCAGAAGACGCCGCTCTGTCTCCCCGTGATGCTCGCTCCAATATAACCAGTCTAACCAGTATAAAGACAAACATTCAGAGACTGGACTCCATAAATCATTAACTGAAATAAAAGAAGAAGAAGAAGAAGAAGAAGAAGAAGAAGGAGAGAGTGATCATCAGACTGAAGGAAACTCAATCACAGAATACTCCCTTTCAAAATAAGAGCACAGATGAAGAGTTTTCACTGATCTACTCTGATTAAAAGTCATCTGAGCGTGAAGATGAGGAGGAAAATCATCACTTTACTAAAATCTTTTAAACAACATGTTTATCAGACACAGAATTAAACTTTAATTTATAAATAAAACCTTTCTGACAGTTTCCTCCTCCTGTCTGAGTCTGATCTGTCTTCACTCTGCGCCATGAGGACAACTCTCCAAGATCTCCAACCATCATGAATGAAGACTGAACTCCTCCATGTTTTTACTCACAGAGATTATTTCTAACTTGAAGTTTTAGCTGCAAAAATAACATCACAAAAATGTCAGAGTTTGTATGTTTGAAGCCACACAGGCCTGATTTTATCGCGCTGTTCTCTGGATCCTCTTCTGACTTTAAAATCAACTTTTTGTTCTTTAAATGAATTTAAATTTTGTTCATTAAGAGAAACACAAACAAAGCAGCGAGTTTGGACACGATCTCTGAGACAGACAGACAGGTGTTTAGAGTTTAGAGACACTTACCTTCACGGAAATACAGAGAACAGGACCGGGAGGAGAAACATGAGCTCCGAACATCCCTCTGGATTTATTATTTCTGCAGCACTTTTCCTGAAATCAGGAGACAATAATAAAACGGAGCTGGGCACATTTTTGTCGAGAAAGACGTAAATAACTCAGTTAACAAACAAAAACACGAATGAGACAAAAATGATCAGAGTTAAAAGATATTTTTAAAGGAGATGTGATCCTGCTGTCTGTCTGCTCAGTCACTAAAACAGATGAAGAAGGATGTTCAAGTGTTTAAAGATTAAAATTAATCAGATTTAAGAGTAAAAAAAAAAACTTACCTGCACGTTTGACACCATCTCTGCAGCGTCACAGGTGCGTAAATCTGCTGAGCTCCAGGTGCAGAAATGAAGGAAATGCGCCGCGAACTTTAACACTGAGAAAAAACATTGTGATTAAAGAAATCAACTCTTTTTATTGGAGGTGAATTACTGAAATATGACAGTATTTAAAATCTCCCAGATACCGTAATATTTCTAATAAAAGCACTCGTTTTATTTCACATTTGTTTGGGACAAAATAAATTAAAATTAAAAACGTCAGAAAACCACAGAACACGTTTTTACTACACCTCTGAACGAGTTTATAACTTCAGTTTTATTTTTTTTTCATGTATATTTTTATAAAAAAACTCCTCATCTCTCCACATAAAAGGACATTTTGTTCCTTGTCTGGTCGTTTCATAATTTTCTAGAGTCAGTAAAAGCCTCTTCTGCTCTCTTCACTCTTTCCTCTCATTTTTAAATATTTCATCTTTTTTTTTCGAGAGACAAACTCACTCAGATACTTGACAAAACTGAATAAATAACATTTCATTCACTGCAGCTCCAGGATTTTACCACAAAGTCAGAAAATCTCCTCAGATACTCAGTGACAACAGAAGCAGCACAGGTCTGAATGTACGGAGGACAAATATGACCTTTTACTGAGATTTAAAATGAAATTTTAAAAAGAGAAATAGAAAGAAAAAAAGACTTTAAATCTTCAGCCTGTTGGTTAAACAGTCTTCACAGTATTTTCAAAAACTGAGACTTTAACTGAGTTTTTCACAAATATTCCAGCAGCTTCTGTCATCTCCAAACATTAATTTTCATAAAAACCTTTCATTTTAAAATCACTTCTCCGTCTTTTGTTTTCCTACGATGAGAAAAAGACTTTTCGGTGCAGGATGACTGATCGTCTGATCTCTGGATTTTCAGACTGAGCAGAGAGAGAGAGCGGGTCCCTGAAAGGAAAAGAGGTCTGCAGAGTTTTTATTAATTTCTGCAATATTTGGAAGAAGAAAAACAGTCCTGCGTTTAATGTGCACTGATTTAAACATGTAAGCATCTTTAACAAAAACACAAAATCAAACAGATTAATGATTAAAAAAGTAACTTTTATTAAACTCGTCTGCAGATTTTTATCCTCACAGTGTCGAATTCAACACCTGATGGTTTTAGTTCATGATCAGATCCAGCAGACGGTCCTGAAAGTCCAGTTTTAGTCTTTCAGATGAGTTTTTTATTACAACATATCTACAAATTCATTCAGCACAACAACTCCTGTGTATTTGACCCCTTTTTACCTGAAATTCAAAGATTCTTCATGTCTGAAGAGTCTTTAAAAATTAACACCTGCAGCTCAACATCAAATGAAGTTTATTTTAACCTTTAAATATTTTTAAACTCAGATACAGGATGTTTGCTCGGCTCAAACTGGTCAGCTCTTTTTACGTGAGGATGAAACGATAAGGAGTCAAAGTTCAGCACAGAGAGAGACGACACACCCAAACACAATAATACAGGATATTTACATTCACAGTGTAAAAAAACGTAAAGAAAAGCTGATGAATGAGGAGTTAAAAGTCAGAAAATTTACAGAAAATTAAAACTCCAAGTCAAGAAAAGAAAACAGCATCAGAGAAAGACGAGAAACTGAGAATGAACATGTGATCGACACAGAAAAACAGCTTTAATTCAGAGACAAGGGTGAACTTTAATGACTGAAGGAATAAAAACAGAACAGAGGAAAGTTGATTATTGACTCGGTTCAGATCAGGATGGTGAAAACAAGAGTGCAGGAGAGGAAAACTGAGTTTTTAATCCAGATTTTTCAGGAGATCAGACATTTATGTTTTATTTTATTTCATTATAAATAAACGTGAAACCTTGAAAGCTGCTCTAACAGAGACAGAGTCGACTTGAAAACATGAGGACAGTGAAGAGCTCGGTCTGCTCGGTTATCAGTGATTGAATGGATAAATAAAAATCAGTTGGTTCTTAATGTCTCTGAAACAAAAGCCTGAATTGAATATCATCATAAATACTGTAGTACTGGAGCAGGTACAAGAAACAAAATTATTGATAACAAATTGTCTTGGACTACATAAACATGTTGACAATACGGTATCAAAGATGGGAAGTTTCTGTTGTCAAAAGGTTCATGTCTCTAAATTTAACTAAACTAGTGTTACAAGTGTTAGTATTATCAGTTCTGGACTATAATTTGGTAGTCTGGTCCAAGACTTCACAAGAAAATATAAATAAGTTACAAATTGTACAAAACAGAGCAGCAGGAACAGCTCTGAACAAAAACCACAGTCATCTATAACTGTCCGGGCTGGTTATCAGTTAAAAAGAGATTATTATATTTATTGTTAGTGTTCTTTAAAAATATTCTGATAACAAAAAAAAAAAAAAGATTTTGTATAAAAATGTAAATTTTAGTTCAGATAAACATAGACGTGTCAGCAGACTAGAGGAAAATTTACACGACCCAAAACAAAAACAAACATAATAAAGCGGATGGTCGTGTACAGAGCAAACAAATGGAACAAATTATTTTGTGTTTTATTATTATTATAATTACTAATAGTACTTGTAATAGTTGTAGAAGTATTAGTATTTTAATTTTTACATGGGATGTATTATATATATATATATATATATATATATATATATGAGATATCTATATGAGATATCTGCATTGATTTATTGTGAGTTGGTTTAAGGACCCCAGGAAGAAAAGCTCGCTCGGCCGAGACTAACGGGGATCCCAAATAAATCAAATCAAAAATCAAATCAGCTGCAGAATAAAGAACAGATGAGCGTCTTTAAACCTCCTCAAACATAAGATCTGTGGTTTTTACTGATAATTTAAGATTGAAGATTACAGGTTTGGTCCTGAACTGATTTTAATTTAACCTGCAGTTTTTGTCTGAGTTAAGAAGCTCTTGCAGTCAGTACAATCATTTCTCTCTTTCTCTAGTTGTATAAAAAAATTAAAACTTGTGTTTACATACTTATATAAATCTTTGCAGTGGCCTAAAATTAGATTACATGACTTAATATTTGCTTTTTCTTTGTTTTTAAGTTTGATTTCAGATACAGCTGCATGTTTCTGTAAAAGCTGATTTTCTTCTGTTATATTTGCATATTCATCAGATTGAAACCCTCATTGTTCGTATATTTGATCCAAAGCCAAGACCTGATTCCCATTTGCCCCCTTTACTAAATGAAGTCCTTCCTCTGTGGTGGGTTTGCAGCACTTCTCCATTAAACCATCAGCCAATCAGAGTGCAGTATTTTCAGGACGCTGCTGTCGCTGTAATTCACAGTAGAGAGGTTGTTGTTTTTTTTGGTTTGATGCAGAGGTGGTGACAGGTCTCTGTTCTGTTCCCTCAGCGGCCAATAGGAGGGAGCCTTGTACCTCGGAGAGCGGCGGCTCAGGTGATCATGCAGGAACAGAGACTCAGAGAGTCAAACAATAAACTTCTCATCAGTTTAGTCAAATCTGTCTCAGCGGTTTTACAAAGTCTCCCGTTTTTGGTGATCAGACCACCGGGTCAAGATGTGGGAAAGAGAGACGAAGGTTTGTCTGACTGTTTGGATGTTGGAGGATTTTGCAGCGATTCTCCTAAAGTCAAATTTTTTTAGAAGGTCAAAATGGATCAGACTGAGCGTGTTTACATAGATCTGAGGGTCCCTGTCATTGGTCTTAATCTAGTTTTTTTTTGTACACAGAGAAACTTTGTTAATCAGGTCTCTGTAAACACGATAAAAACATGTATCCTGGTTTCTGTGATGTTTATTTTTCACTCCACAAACAACAGTAATGTGGTTTATTGTGAGTTTATCACTATCAGACTCCAGCATCATGTCACAGCGTAATAATATCCTCCTTATTTCCAGCAACAGCAGACTGTGAGGCTTAAATGTGGGGTGCACAGCTCAAGGAAGAACATTTATGATCATTTCTTTATCATTTCCTTGAAGTAATAATCACCATATTAATCATTTTGCACTGCAGACGCTGTAGTTCTTCTGCTTTAGTGTCTTGGTTTGATTGTATTTCCATAAAGAAATGCTGCTGGGCTGCTGGAAGAGAGTAGGTGAGTTGTGTTTAGTCTCTCTGCTAAAGAAATGAGTCAAAGTTAAAAAGATGTTTGGTGTCTAGTTCTATGTCTGTGACCCTATATGTCCTGTTGATGAAGTTAGGTGCTGTTCTGAGCATTATTTGTGGCTATAGAGTGGCGTTTTGGTTGAGCGCGTGTCTCTCTGTATTTCTATCCTGCCGTCGTTACTAAAGTTGTTATAACTAGAGAAGCAAGCGGTCGACAACATTCATCTCTGAAGGGGGGGTCTAACTCTGTGTTATGGTGTGTTTGACCCTAAATTAATTTTACGCCGGAATATCCCTTTAATGCATTTAATCACTCAGGATACACTTTGTTTGGTTGGCGCTGTTCCTGCATGGTTCGAATCCCCCGGTCAGTCAGGGGCCTCTCTGTGTGTGTGGGGTTATCACGGTATCCCACAGCCCAAAAACACGCTAGATTGTTCACTGTAGATGTCAGTGTGAAGTGTGTATAAGTCATGTGCAGTACCAAAAATGTCCACTGGAGGCTGCTGCCAAAAGTGAGTCAATTCCCATAGAGCTCCGTGTAACAAGAGCTAAAATGACTGAAAAGCAGAACTTTGCGTGATCTCAGACTGGTCTCGTCTTTGAATGTAGACCGGACCAAACACGTCCTGGTTCGTCTCAGGTGTCAGACCTGCAGGAACATAAATAAACTTAAACCCTCTGATCCAAGAGGAAGAAACTGAGCAAACTCTAAACTAACTCCAAACAGAGAAATCTGCAGATTCGGTGGTTTTAATATAATTATTTCCAACATGCTGTAAAAATGCTCCTACGTGACGGTTTCTCGTCTTTGAGACAAAATGAGTTCTGTTGTTCTCGGAGCAGCAGCTGCTTCCACTGACTCTTAAACACAAAACCACAGATTTTATTGAGCAAACATCACATCTGTGCAGCAGCGAGCTCCGCCGCAGAGTCAGCTGAAACAGAGGAGACGTGAACAGATGCACACGAGGAGATCAGCGTGTTGAGGGAGCAGGAGCCACGCTGAGAAGACCAGTTAAATGTGACCCGACTGATGTAATTAGCGGTGGAGACATCAGCAGACATCTTATCTTCTCCTCTGTGAACACTGGACGGAGTTGATCACAGGAATCTAGTCCTCAAATCCTACGGTAGCCAGTCAGGACCACATCAGTCCAGTTTCTCAGCGGGACTCTTCTCCTACAGAGCCATGCAGAATGATGTTTGGGATCATATGAAGGTCTTTCCTTAAATACTCATTGTCTGGCTGTCAGAAGATGTTGCTCCTAAACCTGGAGATATTGCTGAAAACTGAGGATGCAGCATCTATGATTTCCAGTTCTTCCTTGAAAGGGTAACTGGACTTACTTGGGACGTTTCGCTGACGTCCAGTTGTCCTTTCCAAAACAGTGTTAGATTTTGATTCATCAGACCTCAGGACAGTTCACAGACAAGTGATATCAGCCCATGTGGTGACTCCAACTACAGAGTCCTGATGCTTCTAAACCTGGAGATATTTTTCTGCATTCATGGAGATACACATGATATCAATAGTGCGTGTCTGCAGAGCAGCAGACATGTATTTTTATGTATTGTCTGCCTACCTATAATATTTGGGGTTTATTCTACCAAAATATCATTTATATTATTCCAGTATCATAAAGATTGACCTTGTTTTTATACTATTCATTCCTTGGCGATGATTAGTCCCTGCTCTCTGCTTGGAGGTAATCAGTGAAATCACCTGGTGGAGTTTTGGGTTGGAAGGAAAACCTGCAGCCTCTCGTCCCCTCCATGGCACATGGTTGCCCACCCCTGCTCTACTCTTTGAGGACGCAGCATCTGTGATTTCCAGTTTTTCGCTGAAAGGGCAACTAGACTTACTCTCAAGTAAGTCCAGTTATCCTATCCAAGAGGAGGTCGACTTGTCTCGGGTCTACAGAAATCTCTGGTATTCCTGGATCCTCTCTCTATCTGATCTCCTCTTCACAGTCTGTGGTTTTTAAGTGATTCTGAGCCCACGCGGTGATTCCCACTCCAGAGTCCTGTCTGTTTTTAATGCCCTGGAGATCAGGACCATCCCGTCTTGAGAGCTCTCTGGCACTAATGTGTTAAAATCAGACAAAGCGAGTTGATAGGAGGGGAAACTCTGACAGCACAAAAGCAAACAGCAGAATCAGGACCATCTGTGCCGCTCTGTAGTGTGAACCCCGCGGGGCGTTTGAGTGTGGTCGATAAAGCAGATTCAATCTCCATGTGTTTTACAGATACAGAAGTGGTCTTTGATCATTTGAGCAAAACTACTGATCCTCAGGGAAATCCCGGTCCGGCAGAGTGAGCCTGCGTTCACTGGAAAGTATTAGATCTGTAGGAATCCTGCTGCTGAGGCAGGAATCAAAGCGGACCTCATCGGTATGCACGGTCACAAATGAAGCTGTTTATCCGTTTGACAGAAATATGTGCCCAAAGGTGTCAATATGGGAAGTTGTTCTTCTTCTCTGCGACACATGTGTCATGTTAGGCTTTATTTTTAGTTCCAGGATGGGAGTCATCTGCTCCTCTGGAACCCGGGGCACGAGTTTGAGGCGAGGTGTTCGTGAAACAGCAGCGGCTCTTTGGAAACTAATGTGGATGAAATCTGGACGATCAAAGTCGGTGGAACAGAAAATTGTCCCTAACTGCCCCAACAAAGAAAACTGTCCTCCCACTGAAATCTATCAGCTGACATGATAAACATCACTCTTGTCACTCATTGGCTATCGTCCACCGATGATGCGTGCCTCTAGGGACGATGGTCGACTTCTCTGTATTTCTGGACCGCCCGGCGATTAGCGATGAATGATTTCCAGCCGTGGCATTCAGCGTTTGTTTACAGTTTGAAGACTGACTCGGGAAAAATCTGCAGAGACGAAGTCAATCCTTCACATGTTCCTGCAACCTGGATGATGCAGCTGGGAATTAGTTTTCTCTGCCATGTTTAGGGCGCTCTGAGCATGCTCCAGAGTTTGCACACCGAGGTTTAGTCAGCGTGGGTGTTTAGAGGAGACGTAATAAAGATACAGAGCTGAGAAAGTTCCCGTCCTCCAAAATCCACCTGTTTTGATCACAGCATGCCAACCAGCAGACGTCCTCGAAGTAAAAGGATCAGAATAAGTGTTTGCATGGACACGTTTCGGAATAACGATCGGCATAAACCACTCATCTCGTTCGGAATACGATTTCTCTCTGATTGAGCCGAATTGGATCAGAATCTTCTGATTGACATGTTTACATGACATATTTTTATTCCGATCGGGCCTATATTACGATTGTTTGTGCCCATGTAACTGCAGTAGTGATTTGATTCTTACCTGGTGCACGTAAACAGGTACGCGGACACCAGTCTCATTGAGCTGTAACCGCAGCTTAATTACCTGTACCTGTTGAGTTTTGGTTTGGAAAATAAGGGAAGTTTTCCAAGGGTTAAGGTTAGGGGAATTATCTCGTAAATACGGGAGATTTACGGTAGAATACTAATACAGGAAGACAGCGGGAAAGAGGGGTAAAATACGGCAGTTTCCCTGATTGACTGTGTTCTGCCTGCTTTTGCTCTCCATACAGACTGTTTTACCTGCTTGTTTACACCGAAGCTGCTGATCCCTGATTGGTCGGTTCTGTTTCTACTATAAATGGGAACTCCCATACCAGAGTCCGGTGGTGTTCTGGTCCCATTTATTAAATCTTTTCTCATAAACCATTTTCTCTAATTCTTCCAGAGTAAATTACAAACGTTCTGCAAATAGATATGAGATAAAAATAACTGTTACCAAATCCATATGAGTCACATCTTAGTCCTGTTTTCTGCCTCGTCCCCACTGATTCGTTTGTTTGGGACAAAGATCTTCTGATGAATTTCGCCATGTTAGCCGCCATCGCTCTCCACTATTCCCACCGTCCCTCCCACAGGACTCCCCCGGGTCAGAGGTCGACTTTAAGTCCTTAAAACCCATGCAGGCTGAATTATAAAACTCCCCGAACATGTCATAAACAGACCATAGTCTCAACAGAAAACACAAACAAGCGCTCCCCCGAGTTTAACTCAACCGCACTGACCACTAAGTTTTATCGGCGACAATTCAAAGTGTTTCACTGCTGACAGGATGTCTTTATAAGGTCGATAATGAGATAATACAGCAACACTGTAAACCATCTTTTCAGGCATTGTTGTTGTTGGTGGTGTGGGTTATTAATACTCAGATCAGCAGCACATGTTGCACAAACTGTTCTCCATATTTTCTGTCGGTTTTGACACGTTCGGTTCGAGGTGGACCTCCGAGCAGAACACACTTTTTCAGAAACATATGCGGCCTAAACACATGTGTTGAACACATGCTGCATCAGAAAATAACACATGCATGTGCATTGTTCTTCAAATATGAATCTGGTGGACAAAAAAAAAATAGAGTGTTTGATCAGAGGCAGAAGAAGGACAATAGTCGGTGTAATGACAGGCTGAAAATCTTTATTCCCATGACCTCACACACAGGTCAGAGCGTTTCTGTGTGCGACAACATCCATGTCAAGAGGAGAAAGAGAGAAAACGGACAGAAAACAAGCTACTGCACTGTGACTAACGGCACGATCTGAATACATTTACTCAAGACGAAGGAATTTGAGTGAACTCAAGTGACATGCAAAGGGAATACTTTATGAAAGAGAATCTATTCCTGTTTGATGGCAGGGACGCTCAGAAAAAGGAACAGATCAGTTTATATGGAGCCTGACATCCTCCGTGTTCAGCACCAAAGCTGCAGAAAAACTCACATCAGCTCAGCTCCTGTTAGTTCGCATTGAAATCCACTGGAAATAAAAGTGACGCCTCGTTATGACCGACAAAAACTAACCAGAGCATCAGCAGCAGCACTGGCGGTTTAGGTGCAGGAAGATAAATTCATTTGACGGACAAAAGACTGAGGCCTTGTCCATCACAAATATCTGTGTGAACACGAAACCACTGAATATGACTAAAAACAATGTAGTACACATGCCAAACCAGCGAGTGGCGCTGTAACGCTGCCAAGAAATGCATCAAAAGACAGAAGAAGAATACAGAACATGCATATAAGGATTTAAAGAATATAGAGATATAAGAAGACGTCACACTACGGCAAGTCCACTCGGACAAACTACATTGCGCTCCATTTAATAAGTCAAATGTGCTCAGTTAGAAGCCCATCGTGGTTTTATTTATTTCCGTTTGTTTGTTCAATTGACCTCGAAATTTTCTCTCCATATAATACAGAGAATTACAACTTACTGTCCTGTCATTTTCAGATGGTTTTAATTAAATATGTCAACTTTTCCAAAGGAAAAAGACAAAAAAAAATCTACGCAGGATCTCCATTTATCAATAGATAGTTTTGCTTTTATTCCACGTTTTCTAAAAGAGGCGGTAGTCCGGCTGTCGTAAATCCCCTTTGATAAGTTGCGATAGATTGTTTTGTAAAATTCGTCCATGTTTTCTCCAAAGAACTAAAATCCCATGGAACCTAATCTGGTGAAAACCGCTTCCATTATGTCAAGACTGACCACAATCTTCTACGTTATTGGAAACCAACTTCCAGCCAATCATATTGTGTGACGTCATCAATAGGTGCCGGGTCCCGAGCCAATCTAGCGGCCAGAACACATCGGGTACCTACACAGGCGCCTTAAGAGAGTTACGCTGTCTGTGATGTAATCGTGTCAAGAAAGTCGCGAATAGGCGTTTACTTTGAGATGAAATGGTCGTCGCATCATAATGTTAACAGTCACCTGAAATGCCGATACGACAACAAACTAATGCGTTTACTCCTGAATTTGTTTGCGTGTGGGCGGGGCCTCAGAGGTTACATTAAAAGAGAGCTGACAGACACAGAGGGCACTCAAGAGGTACTGCTGCAGGGGGCGCCAAAGCAACACAAACAAAAAGTTCCTCATAGCAGCTTTAAGTAAACTCTTGCATTGTTCTTCATTTTTCATTTTTATCATCAAGCTAATTCGCTAAGTAGAAATATTCTCAGTATTTAGAGAGTCTGTCCCAGTGACCTGTCAGCTGTGTCTGCAGATTAAAATTAAAATGAGCTTCATAACTGTTTCACAGTGAGTCATCAAACATGTTTTCAGCAGAGTAAGAGTCTATTTGAGGTTCGTAGTGACTTTTTTTAGCATGTGGAAAGCATTGGCTTAGCTGCTGCCCCTCCATCTCTGGTGGGAGAAAGAGTCACAGGCAACACAGTCTTCCCATCACTTTGGCCTGCAGTCATCTCTGCAGGGAGGAAAACAACAATCCTCATTCCCATGAACGACCCATGACAAAAAAGTCACTGTATGACAATCAATGCATGAGCTAACAGGCTAAATATGATGAGCACAGACGCAGATACCTGCTATTCAGAATTATTATGATTTCAACTCAGTTTAAAGGTGGGGTAGTCAGGATCTGAGGAAGTTCCAGTTTTTAGGAGAAATCTTCAATGTAAACTCTACCCCTCCCAACCAGTTTTTCCCTCAGCTCCTCCTCTCCCCTCCCTCTCTGCTCCAACAAGCCCCGCCCCCCTCGTTTATGTTGACCTGGCTTTTAAGCGGTCTACCTCCGTTTTAAGCGCCCGTTATTCCTCCAGAGTCTCCGGTATTTACTTTGTTTTCTTGCTTGTGTCGGCAGTCGTGGCCAAAGGAGGATTCAGACCATTTTCCGAACTTTCTGGTTGGTTTCTACTGTCCGATATTGTAGCACGCTAACTTTGTTTGGGCTCCTGAACGACACGGGGAAGCAGCGTCTGCCTCACAACCAATCAGGTCAGGGAGGCGAAGAACGGCTTTGTTTACAGTCAGAAATTTTAAAATGTTGACTCCACAGACATAACAAAACACATCAATATCGTGATATTCCCAAATGTCATCAATAACTAATATCTATTGATTGATATTAAAAGCTTTTTTGTTTAACCACCAAAAAAAGATGCTTCTTTAACAGAATCCTGTCTACTCCACCTTTAATGGCTTCAACTCCGCACAGGACCAGGATCAGCACCAAATCAGCTGAGGAGACAGCTAGCAGCTCCTACCTGTCAATCAAAGAGGCCACGCCCCTAATTGTGCATCACTTTATGAGCGGGTGAGTCATATTGAAGTTCACTTTTTTACTGACATGAACAGATAAATTAGCTTCAATCTACAGTTGGACCTTTTCTCATGGGGCTCTATGAAGGATTGGCCCAATTTAGAGCCAGCCTCTAGTGGACATAAGAGGAACTGCAGTCTTTTGGCGCTTCACTGACTTGTACAGCTGCTGAAATCCATTAAAAGTCCTCAGAGATGCTAAATCAGAGAGACTTTAAAAGTGAGTCTCAAACTGATGCAAATGATCAACAGACTGCAGACTCTCTTTAATCTGCAGATTATTATTCCCTCAGTTTAACATGATCTAATAACCGAACAGCAGCTTCATTTAAAATTTATTGTTTTATTCATTCAGTTCAAGTTTTGTTTGATGTTGAATGTCTAAGAAATTCACCACAAACTGAGTTAAACTAATTTAGTGTGGAGTCTCATAAATCAGGATATCTGCTCGAATGTTTTTAATATTTCCAGTTAAGATGTTTCATGTTCATGTTTGGTTTTAATTTGTAAAACAGAGACTGATTTATTAGAGGGAAAAAAACACAGTCTGAACAGAAACAGTGCTGCAGTTTGTAAAATAATAATAAAAACTCTTCGAATAAAAACAAACTATCCCAGGAGGAGTGTCTAAAAATATGATAATGATATAAAATTCACCCAGAGCTCACCTATCCCTGATTGTGGCTGTATGATGATGATAAATTTCCTGCAGGTAACCCAGACTCCACCCTACCTGGCGTCTGTCTGTCTCCGTCCTCCGCCTGTCCTCTTTATCATCATCTGGCCGCTGGATTAACAATCAGCGCAGATTATAGCCGTAATAAGCTCCAAAACACAGGTTCAAGGGTCCGCTGCTGCTCCGCGGACCAGCCTGCACTCCTCAGAGGATCGAGTTTTCATTGATACTGCTCTGCTATTACTGCTAAAGAAAGCTCAATTAATCCTCTCTGTGGAGGAGTGTCAGGACTGCTTATTATTTCAACTCATGATGCAAAGGAGACGGGGCTTTTTTTTTTTTATCCAATACATCCACTGAAAATCACTCCAACTCAACATATAGGCCAACAGAAACTGAATTTACACCCCTAAATAGTTTTTATTAATCATTTCGTGTCTTTTTTCTTCAGATATGCCAAAAAAATGTAGAAATTAAGATGTTTTTGAGCCATTAATTAGAGCCAAAAACATGATCCGTGTGGAAATGTATAAAAAGTTGATTTTCCAGTGTGAGAAAAACTGTCAAATCTCATTAAAACAACGACCTGACTGATCGCCTCTGATACCAAACTCATCTCTCCTGTTATTTTAATCAATAAGTCCTCTCTGTCGTGCGCCACTCCGGCTGATTTGGAGACATTAGGTGCGTAATGATTGACTTCCAAACATCCAACATCAAACGCCGGAGAACAATGTCGGCCTGGCTGCTGTCTCTGCCTGCGCGGCTCTAATTCTCCATAACAAAAGTACAAAGGCCGAGACGGAGACCAAAGGCTTTATCCCTAAACACCTTTAACACCTCTCCGGGCCGCGGCGCCGCGCCGGGCCGACGCGCTCACCGCGGCCCCGTCTGCAGCGCCGGAGAGAGGGGAGAGGAGCAGCCCCGGGACACAGAGGAGGAGGAGGGAGAGGAGGAGGTGGGGGTGCTGGGGGGACAAAAACACCTCATCTTCCTCCTGACTGTCTGAGCAGACCTGGTGAAGAGTGTGTGTGTGTTTGAGTGTGAGTGTGAGAAAAGTTTCTGCAGCATCTTCAGCGGCCTTCCTGCCTGCGGAGGGGGGACACTTCATCTCCAGAAGAGCCGGGAGACAACAGAGAGAGAGCAGGACAGAGGATTTACAGCGTGGACCTCTCACAGAAAACAGCCTGATGCGTAAGTTCATCTAAAACTTTTTCAGTTCATAGAGTTTACTTTAACTTTTTTATTCAGAGTGAAACAGAAACTGGAGTCACTGTAAATTTACAAAAACTAATCTGATGGGATTATAAATGGATAATGAAGATAATGGATAAACTGAGTATATATGAGATTAAGTGTTTAGTTTTGTTGTCACTGACTTTGGCTCCTCTGATGTTACTGCATAAGATGAAAATCACAAAAATATCACTGAGAAAATCTGCGTAAAAACTCTGGATTTGGCATTAAATTGATTTTAAACATTAAATTAAGATGAAAATAATCCCACTCCTGATAATTAATCAATTATAAAAACAGTAAATTCTTCTTTATTAGCTCAGTTAAATGGGAACTTCCATTACAGTCTCATATTTTTGTGGAGTTCCTTCATAATAAAAGTTTCTGAAATCATTATTATGACATTTACTTTTACACTGAAATGTCAGAAAATATCAGAAAAATCTGGAAAGTTTTGGTTGTAAAGATCTCATAAAGTTCAAACTTTGACCAGTTTTTTAATTGGTGGTGAATAAAGATAATTAAACTTATAATCTCTGCAGTTAAAATGAAGATTTAGAGTCTAAATTTCTGATATTTATGTTTTATTTTTAGATGGATTAACCCTTTAACAGCTCGGTTTCCATATTTAGACTCTTAATTTGTTAAAGTTTTTAATTAATCATTAAACTTTATTAATTTTGTGTTGAATCAATGAATAAAACACACTTTGTTACTGGAAGATAAAACTCGTCTAAAACCGTCCCACGCGCCCTGGTCGTGATCTCGTGCCCTCTGTTTTCCTCAGTTGCAGACGGCAGACAGACTCCGGTGGCAGCCTCCGCCATCGCGCACGCTGCGGACGCGGAGCGGCAGACGGAGCCGTGCACGCGCAGCGCCCTGCTCGACCACAGCCGGCGGCACCGGACCGCCTTCACGCGCGAGCAGCTGTCCCGGCTCGAGCAGGAGTACGGCAAGGAGAGCTACGTGTCGAGACCCCGGCGCTGCGAGCTGGCCACCGCGCTCAACCTCCCGGAGACCACCATCAAGGTAGAGGGGTGAAAGCTGCGGCCAGGGGGGCGAGAAAGGGCCGTGATGATTAACAACAAGGGTCAAACTGATTTATGAATATTTAATTCATCCTTTAACCCTTAAAACTATTTTTGGTCCACCTGGTTTTTGTTGTAAAAATCCATGTAGCACCTCGATCTTTTCAATCACAGCAAATATAAACACATCTTTTTTTTTCAGGACAACCTCAGCTGTCAGATTATGGAGCAAAAATGATGTAAATGAATGTGACAGTAGATTCAGAACCATCAAAGTCAACCAAAAAACAAAAACAGAAATTGATCCCAACAGAACTTTGCTCAAAAACCACATAAATCTACAGTGACCAAGCCTTTTCTCACCTGCACATCATTCTCTCAAGTCTTGTCTATCAGGAGAAGAGATATTGGGATTGGAACAAACACACAACAGAAACTATTGACATATTTACACTCATTCTTCCAGGTGTTTTTTTTACTATTTACAGTTGTTTCTGCCACTCCTGGGATGAGACAGAGGACCACATCATACTGCTCAGAATCTCTTCTTCGCTTGTTTCCAAACATTGAGGACCATTATTTCTGATTTTGCAGACAAGCAGGGAACCTTCTTGTCTCTTACTGGACACTACCGACAAAGGAACAATAGAAGAAGAATATGAGACTATGTAATTGGTCGAAAGTTCGACAGAAATAGACGTCATCAAAACATCTGGAAGACATTAGCAGCATTTAGCAATAACGATCTTTTTTTTTATCGCAACAACCTGATCAATAATCCTGTTTTCACCGTATATCACTGCAGATTTACCATCAAATGTCTCTGATCAAACACCTGTTTTTGGGGCTGGATTGTAAACCTTATAACAGGTGTAGAAATGTCTGGAAACCCTCGATAGATCGCCAAAAGGGTAAACTTTTGAACACTTTTTATCCCGTAGAGATAGACGGTATAGTTCCTGAGAAACTGTCGACAGTATTAATGGTGTCACGTGTTCTCAGTGTTAAAGTCCTCCATTTTTACAGGTGAAACCACACCTCTGGCACCAACCCAACTCTTTCAGTCAAGACTATTTTTAAGTAAAAAAAAAAATCATCCCTAGAGAAGCTGAGTGATCTCAGAGTAATCCCCAAACAGGACTGATCAAATCCGTCTTCCTACATGAGCACACTGTCCAATCTCTTACACTTAGAACTTCACTGGATTGCTGCGGCTCCACTCTCTGGGCTCTATTTTGGTGCCTCGCCGGAGACGTGCCGCAAGTGCAGCGTCAGTCAGATCCGCCGCGCTGACAAGGCGTTCCCAAGCACATTTTGGTATTTTGGTGAGCCGCGCAGCCCGGCGTAAGTATCCCCCCTCCCTAACTCAGCTCCTCCCAGCACCATAAGTCGTAACGGGGAGGAGAAAGGGCGTGAAGTCGGTTTAACACAGCCGAGACCTGTTTTCACCAATCACATAGGCTCCTCTCCTTGCCTTTAAATCCGCCACAGGCGAGGCGTATTACTATTTTCATGAAGTAGTCAAAGAGATCAAGAGATGTCTTAAGACAGTAATGCCACAAGATGGCGACAGAGGGCAGCTCCTCAACAAGTGTCCTCCACACTCTCTCATATGAGCACAGATGGATTTGGTGTGCGTAATATTGGACCCACTGGTAAGACAAACACCCTTTTCCACAAATAAAGACACTCACATAAAGTTGCTCATATTCAAACCTCACGTAACAAAGGTGGGTTGAGCGCACAGATCACAACATAAACTCCAAAAATGGCATTAAAATCGGAACCATCTGTGCGTAAATGACGCATCGCGCTCCGTGGCCTGGCTCTTTCTTTCATAGATGTTGGCATATAAAATAAATTTGGCTCACAAAACTGAATATTATAATATCTGTATGTCGGCTTAAAGTAGATCACGCATCTGAGCACTGAAACAAATCATCTGTTCAGCTGCAGCAGCAGCAAGACGGACAGAGGACACGGAGGCGTGTCCAGGTCGAGCTGTGCGAGAAATAAGAGGAAGAGGAAGAAAGAAAAGGAGGGAGACGAATTACATATCTTGTTAACTTCATCATGTGTGTTTATTTACTAGATATTTAATTTAATTTTATGCGGTTTCAGCTGTGTTGATTCGGTCAGGTTGTGTGTCCAAACGCGTGCCAAACGCGCTCATCAGATCACATATAGATCAGAATATATCGATATAGATCTAAATGTATGTGCTGACTCAGATTAATAGTTGATGATGATTATGTATTGCACTGAAATGTGCCTGACACTGTGGAAACCTGCCGGTGAGGCATCAGTGACGTATGTCGATACGCCGCCGGTCTACCAAAATACTACTAGACCAGCTGCGTTCCGCCTTGCGCTGAAAGCTGACCAGGTTTGAATCGGCGAGCTTTCAGCGCACTTTACACGCCGTTGGCGAGCACGAAAATGTCACTGCGCCAGCTGATTCTGTCGACACCTCCCCCTGCCACACCACCACGCCCAGCTTGGCGGATCTCGGCTCGCCTCCGTGCGGCTCATGCCACGAAAATACCAAATTGGCCTTACGCTGGGCTCCGCCAGACGAAAATACAACTGCGCGGGGCTCGCCGCCCTCCGCCGCCTCACCGGCGCGAACGAAAATAGAGCCCTTTGTATCTCTATGGAATGAAAAGTCTTCAGAAGTTTACCCTTTAGTCGATCTATCGAGGGTTTCCAGACATTTCTACACCTGCCACAAGGTTTACAATCCAGCCACAAAAACAGGTTTTGATCAGAGACGTTCGATGGTAAATCCGCAGTGATATAACGGTGAAAACAGGATTATTTATCATACTGTTTTGATAGAAAAAAGGATCGCTATTGCTAAACGCCACTAGTGTCTAATGTCTTTTTCTGTCAAACTTTCGGCCAATTACATGGTCTCATATTCTTCTTCTATTGTTGCCTTGACAGTAGTATCCAATAAGAGGCAAGAAAGTTCCCTGCTTGTCTGCAGAATCAGAAATAATGGTCCTCAATGTTTGGAAACAAGCAAAGAAGAGATTGTGAGCAGTCTGATGTGGTCCTCTGTCTCATCCCAGACAGGAACTGCTTCAAGGAGTGGCAAAAACAACTGTAAATAGTAAAAAACGTCTGGAAGAATGAGTGTAAATATGTCAATAGTTTCTGATGTGTGTTTGTTCCAATCCCAATATTTCTTCTCCTGATAGACAAGACTTGAGAGGATGATGTTCAGGTGAGAAAAGGCTTGGTCACTGTAGATTTATGTTTTTTGGAGCAAAGTTCTGTTGGGATCAATTTCAGTTTCTGTTTTTTGGTTGACTTTGATGGTTCTGAATCTACTGTCATATTTATTTTAAAGAATTTTTGCTCCATAAACTGACAGCTAAATAAAAAAAAGTCTTTATATTTGCTGTGATTGAAAGGATCGAGGTGATACAGAGAGTTTTACAACAACAACAACAAAAAAACAGGCGGACCAAAAATATCAAAATATATCTGGGAGCTCTGAGGGTTAAACATGTTTTTATTTTCCCTCAGTGTCGGTGTTCTCCGAATATTTCCGAGCCTTTTTCCTCCAATCACACGTCTGACACACACTGAAAACCTCTAACCTAGCGGGTCAAACAGGAAGTGAGAAATCAGAGACCGCCACTCACCTAAACGTCAACACCTCTGACATTTCATCTGGTTCCTCTGAACTCAGTCAGAGTGCCGGATTGAGTAGTGACAGCTTTAGCAGCTCGAACATTTGCCGCAGAGGCCCGCTGGCGCAGTGCAGCAGCTTTAATACGCAGTAAATGCGCCCACCTTTCTGCCAACTACAGCAGGCTCTTTTATGGCGAGGGAGGAATGCGAGGCGAGGCCTCGTAAACGCCACCACCTGACGTTTTAGAAGCTCAGCCTTCCGGGAGATTCTCTGAACTGGTGGAGTTTGGGAATAGACGGGCAGACACAAAGGTAGCTCTGGTGACTGATCCACATGTAATCCAGCCCAGAGATTAACAACATTTTTCAGTAGTTTGGCGGGAGCTCGGTCACAGTCATAGATGCACACTCAGTTAGATCACTCTCTGCTGCTCTGGCGTGTCTACACTCTAAGATATGTCAAGATAGTTTAATTTACAACTTACCGCAATATCATAGTTTCTTTAACATTACAAGCCAAATTATGACTGATGATCAACTTTTGAAACCTTGTTGTTTCAACTTCATATTTCAAGCTAAATCAAATTATTGTAAATTGATAGTAAAGGTAAAGCTCCTTCTAATTTGTAGTTTTAGCTCTTAATTTTAAGTTAAGTTCAACTAAAGGAGACACTTTTATATCACAAGTTTGGATGATTTCAGTTTCTAATTTGTTTCAACTTTGCGAGTTATTTCTGTGATAATTCTAAAACTCAGAAGGAATTCTTACATATCCTACTTTCCTAATGTACATTTATTATTGAAATCAGTGTTAAACATACTTCACATTTGTGCTTTTAATAATTTTGTTATTCTCAGCAGAACAGTAAACATTTTGTGCGCTGGAAACCAGCTACAAACATCCACACGAGTTAAACACGATACAAACTACCAGAGCACCAGTTTCAGTCGGTATACCAACAAAAACGGCAAATTCTTCCAACTGTTGAATAAGAGGTTGAGTTAAACAAACTCTAAATATGTTTCTAACCGCCAACTTCCACCGCATCCGGAACGGCTATGAAAAGGTTGTATCCTCCGATCGTAGCTGATCGTAACCATTCAAGTTAACGTGTCAATTTACACCGACTTCTTTCCGTTCTGATCGCCGTACTCCTCAGCTGATCACAAGAGTTCTATTTTTTTCCAGATGCCAGAGCATGGCGGATAAATTCAGCACAGATTAACCCGTGCTGGAAAGGAAGTCGGGCACAGACACAAAATAAAACATCCGGCTTCTTTTCAAAATAAAACACTCCGTGTTTCAGGAGGATCGTATTTCACACCATGCAAACGGGCGGAGACGAACAAGTGAAAGGTTTTAGACGTCATTTCACCCCGATGACACCATGGATGAGGAGATGCTGATTCTAGAAGTCTAGAAGTAGATTTCCTCCTCTGGAAGGACACAATCTACTGCTTATATGGTTAGTCTATGTGGCTAAAGACAACTTGTTATCGCACGATTGCAAGTGAATCCACGGGTTCTTGTGCGCCGCCGTTCCGGATGTGGTGGCGATTGGGATCAGTGTTGCTCAGCGTCTGCAGACTGTTCTGTGGTTAGACGGATTAAAAACGTCACTCAGCTGATTATGAACACGATATTTACCCGCGCTCTGATCTGGATAACGGAGTAAAAATCTGATGTTGCCTGTTTTAGGAGTTGAACCCATGTTTCTCAAAACTGCCTTTTGTCTTCTGTGTTCCCTTCTTCCTTATTTCCTTCCTTCCTTCCTTCCTTCTCTGCAGGTGTGGTTCCAGAACCGGAGGATGAAGGACAAACGTCAGAGACACTCCCTGCCGTGGCCCCACCCCCTCGTCGACCCTCTGGGGGCGCTGCTAATCAGCCGCGCCTCACCTTCCTCCACCTTGCCTTACCCCTTCCTCCCTCCTCACCTCCCCCACCTCCCTCTCCACCATCACTACCCCCTGGCTCTCTCCTCACCCACCTCCGCCGCCGCCCACGGTCGCTACAGCGCCCCCATGAGGACCCTGGATGCGCTGCGCCTCTCCCAGTACCACCACAGAGCCGGAGCGCTGCCTCCGCCCGCAGCGGCCCCCTACCCTTCCAGCAGCATCATGCACCACCCTGCTTCGTGCCCCTGCCCGCTCTGCCTGCACTGGGGATCGGAACAGCTGCTCAAAGCCAGAGGGGAGGCGCTGGGACTGAACCAAGACCACAGTCCCAAAACCAGGACCCAGCCCGCCAGTCTGGAGCGGAGGGAGGAGATGGTGTAGAGCCAGACTGGAACTAGATCACTCTAAATGAAGTCTGTGACTCCCTGCTGCACAGTGACTTCTTTAATCACCTCGAAACACTCATAAAGATTTGGATTCAGATCATGTGACTTGTCTGATGGCGGAGGCGAGCGGCCCTGAGGGCTGATCCCAAAGTGAGCGCAGAGACTCTGTCCTGTTACATCGTGAGTACTCCACAGACCCCCATCGACACTCCGCCTGTGTTTCCTTACGCTCTGAATTCACAGCGCTGTAATTATTCCTGTCTGTAACTCGAGATCACAGACAAACAGACGGGACTTTTCAGCCTCACGCTCTCACACACCCTCTCTCTGCACCCGGTCCGACCATCTCCTGATATTCACACTGAAGGCGCAGCGTCAAAGTCGCTCACATATCCAAACTCAGACTGACGATATACGCTCGAGGATTCGGCAGAGATTTAGGAGGATCTGAACTCTTTACTGCTGCTGCTCTGAGAGTTAGATAGATGTCCGTCTTTGTCTGATGTGTGCGGGTTCAGCAGGAGACAAAGCTGCTCCTCCGATCTCCGAAATGAAAACCAGAGAAACTGTGAAACCGTTTCAACAAATTCAGACGAGGAGCAGAATTCAGTTTCATTTGCAGCACACCAGATTTAACCAAATATCTTCGTGCCTTTGAGTGACACAGTGTTGGTACAGTCTGTATTTATTGAGCCTGAACTCTGAGTCTTCCTGACGTAAAGGTTTACAGCCTCAGTTACTAAGCAAAGATTTTTTTAAACTTTCGGCTAAAATCTCTCGTAGATGTTGAGTTTATTCTCTGCAACCTCCTGTTAAAAACTTCAGACTTTATAATCACTCATAATAATCCTAAAAGCCTAACGTCACTGGATTTATCTTGCTGAAGTGTTAAACTGTTAAATCTCTCACTGACGTCATCCTAAGTTTGATCACTTTTTAGCCTGAAAACTTGAATTAAAACAAATAAAAAATTCTTTAAATCCTAATAAAAAAGAAAAGTGTGTATTTAACTTTCACGTTTGTACAATCACAGATTTGTGTGATTTTTGTTTTTTTTTCTGGTGCAGATTTCTAATTTAAAAAAGAGCTTCCTGCAAAAATATCAGTTTTTTTAGAGCTTTAAAATCTGCACTTTAATGTAAATCTCTCCACGTTTTCTGCGATCCTCTCACCTTACAACACTGGTGCACATGTTAGCGTGCAGATTTAGATTATTTTAAGAGAACTGAAACTATTTAAAGAGAGAAATGTTAAGAAACACATTTTATTTCTCTCTCTCTCTTCTCTAACACCTTTGACTACTTTATTTATTTGCACCATTTCAGAGTTTTAGTTTTAATCTCAGTCACATTAAAGTAGAGAGGTGAGAGTCGGTCATTTTCTGATCATGTAAGATGCATTTTGAGTGTTTTTGGTGGACAATAAAGAGCTTACAGAGTAAATTCAAATAAAACCCTGTGGAAATGAGCGACTCCGAACATGTGTGGACTTCTTATGTTGGGTTTTAAATCACGGGCTCATTTTTCGGCATAAGCCAGGTGGTCTTCAACTGTCTGTGTCTGAGAGTTTAACACGGCTCAGTCCTCCATCAAAGTCTCTAATTAATGTTTGCGGTACAAACAATCAGCCGTGTTTCCTTTCACCTTGTTGTGCTCGTTCGCGGGTGACTGATGCATAAATCAGCTGAGCAAATAATTCTCCTCCTCTCCGATTTAATGAGCCGCTAGTTAAGTCAGACCAGTTTTAACAAGTGACCAGTAACCAAAGAGGATTCCCAACTTACTGATCCAAACCGGTCACATGAAAAAGCGCCGACCAACAAACAACAACAGATGCAGGAAAATTAGAGCTCTGCTCGCACAGCGGCCATTTTTTACGGGGCGGAGAAACACACAACACAAACAAACAGGGACGTCCAGATGGTATGATGAGTCCGGCTGAAGCAAACATGAATAAAAATGATTAAAGAAAGAGACATGATGGGTTTAATCAGAGCTGCAGTTCTATAAATGTCCACTGGAGGCTTTCTTTAAAAGTGAGTCAACTCCCATAGAGGAGCATGGTAAAATGTACAACTTTACAGCTAAAATAAACATTAAAGTTTCAGTAATGACAACTACACAGAGCTGAATTTGTATATAATTAACCTATTTGAGTTATTGTGAGATTTAGGATAAAGGGGCGTGGCTTATTTGAAGGACAGGTGGGACCTGATAGCTGTCCGCAAATGCAAATTGAGCCAAAATGTAAACAAACTGTAAAAATGTTTATTTCTGCTGTAAAGTTGAACATTTTAACATGGGGCTCTATGATGATGGACTCACCTTTGGACACACCCTCTAGTGGACACCAACGGTACTGCAGTTTTTGGTTGGGAGATGCTAACTGTCTGCTAAGTTTTAGCTAATTTAGTCGCTAAACTAAACTTCTGGGCTGAGTTGGAGCCTTTTGGAGATATTTCCACGTAAAGACATAAAAATATACGTAAATAAAATCCTGTTAATATAAAATAAATCGTCTGTTAGACTAACAGATTATTTGTTTGATATTTCCACATAAATACGATAAAATCTACATACATAAAATCATGTAAATATTTAATAAATAATTTGTCAGACTAACAGATTATTTATTTAATATTTTGAGGTCAATATCAAATAAATAATCTGTTAGACTAGTAGATTATTCATTTGACATTTTAACACAAATTCGTAAATGCATACGTAAATAAAATCACATAAATATCTAATAAATAATCTGTTAGACGAACTGATTATTTGTTTGATATTTCCATGTAAATATCAAACAAATAATTATCTAACAGATTATTTATTTAATATTTCAACATAAATAAAGGAAATAAATTATTAAAAAAAATCACGTAAATATCCATTAAATAATCTGTTAGACGAACAGATTATATATTTTATATTTCCATGTAAATATCAAATAAATAATCTAGAAACCTGAAGCCCAGTTTTTCTCCTAGTCCGATTCCTATCATTACTTCATTTATTAGTTAGCGTTAATTAGCAGGTATCGCTCTCCAAACCTGGCTTGTCGGCTCATTCAGTGTTTGTCATACACTGATGTATTTTTACGGCGGCCTGTGTACAGGCGCTGAGATTGTTGCTGGTTTCCCCCTGATGCAGTATGCACTCATGTCTGTAGTATTTTATTGGACTCAGCAGCCAACAGACTGATCGACTTTTCTGTCCAAAACCTTTTACAGCCTCTGCATCATTTACAAGACGAGCGCGCGCGGCCTCGCTCTGAGTGCTGTGTGACAAAACAACAACGGGAGCGCACGTATGTTTAATCTTATATTCATACATGCACACCTGCAGGTTTAAAGATGACATGTACCTGTGTTTGATTAACCCTTTACTCTCTCTCTTCCTTCTTTGTGTTGTTTTCTATTCTACACACACAGACACACACACGCGCGCGCACAGCAGTTTAATTTTTTAATCAGTTTATTGCCGGAGTGGAGGGTTTGTGTTTTGGTTGTAAAACTCCCACAGACCACAGAGAACAGTTAATCAGAGTATCACGCTGATATGAATGGAGCTTTTATTCTACTGAGTGAACATGACAGATTTATGATAACAGTCACATTTCTCTCTGTTTCTGAGATTGAATTGCATTTTAACTTTGACTGTAAATTACAGAAAGTCATCATGTATTTAAGAAAATGGAAACAGGAGGAGAAGTTAAAATAACCATCAAGATAACGCCGACTTTTAAACGGTTCTGTGGTCGTTTTGGAAATCATGGATGCTGGGTATGAGGATCGTTAGAGTCCATGTCATGGGTAACTCTATCTATGCTGAACAATATCTACAGGTTTAAGGGCATCAGGACTCTGTAGTTGGAGTCACCACATGGGCTTAATATCACTTGTTTGAGAACTCTCCTCAGGTCTTATAAATCAAAATCTGACTTTCTTTTGGAAAGGGCAACTGGACTTACTTACTTGTAAGTAAATGAGTCCAGTTGCCCTTACGACGAAGAACTGGAAATCATAGATGAAAAACGTCTCAAGTAAGTGCAGTAGCCCCTCCAACGATGAACTGGATGTCAAAGATGTGAAATGGCTAAAGTAAGACCAGTTACACTATCAACAAAGAACTGGAAATCATAGATAATAAACATCCCGGGTAAGTCTGTTAACACTTTAACAAAGAACTGGGAATCATTGATGCGAAACGTCCCAAATAAGTCCAGTTGTCTTTTTATTGAAGAACTTAAAATCATAGATGGGAAACATCTGAAGTTATCCCAGTTGCCCTTTCAGTAAAGAACTTGAAATCATAGATGCAAAACATCCAAAGTAAGTTCAGTTACCCTTTTAACGAAGAACTAGAGATAATAGATTCAAAATGTTCCAAGCAAGTGCAGTTGTTATTGCCCTTTCAATGAAGAACATGAAAACATAGATGCTGCATCCTCAGTTTTAAGCTTATTGCTGAACAATATCTTCAGGTTTAGGAGCGACATGAGAAACTCGACTCCAGAAGCTGGTCTCCTCAGGTTTAAAACGTTTTCTTTTTAAAATCTTACTAAGTTGTCTTGACACTTTTTATTAATTTAGAATCAATTTTTTATTTAATTCATTCTTTCTGATCATTTTAAAGAGTCTTGACGTTTTCAGGTCGTACAGACGGTGAAATCTGTGTCATCTCCTCACTAGCTGGACCTCCACACAGCCACCAGACGGTAAATTATGTCACATGAAAGCCCCTCATTCACTTCTTACCTCTCTACATCCCACCTGAGCCCATTCAGACAGCCCAGTCTGCCTCCCCCCTGTACTTATACCCTCACATGATTAAACCACATTATTATCTGAGCGGGATCCTCTGTGTGTCCCGCCGTGAAGCTGCAGTCAGACACACTCACCTGTAATTAACCCCTCTGTTTATTGTCCTACATTATTACACTCAGCCTGCGCAGAGCTGCTCCGGGTTTCAGCCTGCAGAGCGGCGGCTGGCA